AATGTTCCCATCCTTCTGCCCGACCCCACTCCCACCTCTGCAGTGTGAGAAAGCAGCTTCAGGACATCTGCTAATGATTGATGGCCCGGTTCTCTCTTTGTCTTTCTTGGCCTGTAGGTTTAGGTCCCACATTGTTTCAAAATGGCCAGCACCAGTCAGCATGTGGTATCTCCGAAATCTTAGAGACGACAAGCAGATCACACGCTCATAACATCATACAACTGAAGGAATTATTTTAAAAAATAACAGTAGAATTCTCCGCTATTTGTTAGTCAAGGCTGAAGACTTTACTTCTTGGGCAGTGAGGAATAGCATCTGGGAAAGCAATTTTGCAGAGGAAAAAAATAATAAGGAAAATAAGGAGTCAGGTCATACCTAAGCCTGTATACCATTTCTCCTCTTCCGGGGGTCTCCAACAGTGGAAGGGGCTGGGAGGCACACTTTCCGTGTCCTGGCAAAGATATCCACTGCACAGCCCCACTGAAAATCAAACTGTCTCTTAGGTGAGGGGATGGGACTTAGCAAGTGATTCTCTATCTCTGAGCCCACAGACTTCTGGGATGAGGTGTTAATGGCGGGGAAGATGAGAAGAGGTCTGTGAACAATTTTCAGCATCTCCAAGAGCTTGCCGGGAATGCCGCATTTGCCTGGATAGGGGTTGTACTGTCCACGGGATGCCCCCTTCCTTTGCTCTTGGCCGTGTGGGTGCACCGGGGACTGCTTCCTGCAACCGGAGGCTCTGCTGGGCCACACAGAATTGTGATGAATCACCTGGGCTTTGACGGGAAGATAGGTCTGGGGTCACGCCGTGCTCATCCACTTCCTGAGCGGATGACTTTGATGGAGTGCCTTGATCTCTCTGAACCTCAGTGTCCTTGCCTGTGAAATAAGGCCGATAGTCGCATCCACCTCACAGCGTTGTTAGGGGTGGTCCGTAGTGTGCCCTTGATTAAAGGCAGCTGTTATTGTTAGTAGCTTTAATTAACGAAAAATGAGAAATCCAATTATGATTTAATGAAAGTAGCACATTGACGGGCAAAAGTCTTTCCAAACTTGTAGCTCAGAGGGGTTTGACGCAAGTTTGAGATCTTTACACCAGGAGACTGTAAGGTTCTTGACTTTCAGTGGGGCAGTGGCATTGACAGGTGTGTGTTTAAAATTTAATTGAGAGACTTTGATTTCTTTCCTTTGGGCTGACTATGCATATCTTCTGGTGTCATAAAACAAGACAGGACCATAGTGCAGGCCACATGCCCCGTGGTGACCTCTTCTAAGCCACCCCTCTGTCCTCTGGAAAACCATTGATTGAAAAGGGCAGAACAATACCCTCTGTCCCGATGGCTGCAGATCACATTCAATCAGGACAGCATTCTGTTGATTCAAAAGAAACACACAGACACACACAAACACACACACAAACACACATCCCAGCTGGTGACATCAGTGACCTGAGGACAGTGGGGGAGATTTGAGGACAGTTTACCTGGGAATGAAGGTTTCAATCATACTACCACCCAGTGGTGGGTAGAAGTAACTTAGATCGATGAAGCCTGTTCTAGGATTTGGCTTAATTCTCAATAATCTTACCGCTACTCTTTGTTCTTAGAGGTCTTTCTTGGCAATATGTAGAGACCCGTGGTTTTTCTTCTTTAAAAAAAAATATTCTGAACTTAAAGTGCTCTAAGAAATAAAGACTAATTAAAAAAAGTGTGTGAATTCACTGGCAGTCCAGTGGTTAGGACTCTGCACTTTCACTACCAAGGGCCGGGATCAGTCCCTGGTCAGGTAACTAACACCTTGCAAGCCCATGGCGCGGCCAAAAAGAAAGTGTGTGTGTGTGTGTGTGTGTGTGTGTGTGCGCGCGCGCGCGTGCGTGTGCACATGCTGTGTTGAAAACAGTATCATGAAACATAAAATTTGGTTCCCAACATTTCATGTAATGTTACACGACTTGAAGGCTAGAGCTTTGTACCTAATATTATGATTTCCCTGTCTATTGGGCCCACGTGGAAATTTCCTGCTGAATGCCAACCCTCCTCCCCTCTCTCCCAACACACAGCCCTCCCACCCACTCACTTTGCAGTGGATTCTCTTTGGAAGATCTTTTAGGTTTTCTTTTTCATCACACAAGGACGTTGCCATATGTAACAAGGTCTTTCTTCCTACAGATGAAGACCTCAGCTTTATGACGAATGGCAGAAGTTCATTTTCTTTGCCTAAGACATTTGAAATGTAATAGTTCATTGAAGAGGGAGGGGGGAAACCCATTTAGTTTTTGTCTTGACTAAAATGAAAGGAATGGAGATTAACAATTCAAAACCAGAGCTTGCTAATTACAATTAACTACAATTACCCAACTTGCCGTGCAGCTCACTGGGAATCGTTTCTCTTCTGCTTGATTACGATGATGAAAACTTATCTTTTACTGGATAAAATGAAGACATCTTGATCAGAGAGAAAAATTGTTTCTTAAGACTGGCTGTAGAAGTGTTTGTTTTTATAGAATTTTTAAAAAAACACCTAAGTAATACATTAAAAGAAGTTATTCTCCAGACCTAACTTTGTATTAACATGTGTTTAAATATGGGGAGAAATTTCTCACATAATGAATCCAAACTTAATAAACCAAATGCATTTAGATTTCTACAGTTGGGGACCTTCAGGGTTGCAAATACCTGAATAGGTACACAATTTCTAAATAATTCTGATATTACTGAAGCCATACTCCAAATGCACTGTGCCTGAATCACATGATTTATTGGATATGGTGATTACCGTGTTCTAGAATTCTCCTCTCCCCAGTGGAGAAGAATTTATTCTTACGCGATTACTGCTACACAGTCATGTCGGTCTGATTCTGTTACTAAGCATGACATCACCTTTTAAGAAGATCCCCCAGAGAAATAAAGTGATTCTAAAAGAAGCAGAGGAGTGAGGGGAAATAGAACTATGAGCTTTAATCTCTGGAATAATTCCAACTCTGCAACAGGAGAGAGCAAGTCTACCCCAAGAAAAAAATTCCACTGGCTCAAGTGATGATGAGGACCCTCTCCAATGGGGAAGACATCTGCCCCTGTCGCACCCTGATTTGCCCACCACTGGCCTTAGGACAACCTGTGAGTAAGAGAATGAAAGGTCCTTTTATGTTTTAACCTCACCGCCTCTGAAACTGCCCTTCAGAAACCCTACCTTTCTCGTTCTCTCTTTTCTTGGCAACACTCAAAGTCCTTTGTAAACATCCTCCCGGGAAGTCTCTGTAGATCTGTCTGATAAACTTTGAAAGGGAGAGAGTTTAAACTCCTGTCTGAGAACAGATTGGATGGAGAGCTTAAAAGATTATTCCCTTCAGAGAAGTAGCCGAAATCACCAAGCTTGAAAAGGTGTCAAGGAGAAATAGAAATGACACAGCCCTGGTCTTTCTGTACCGAGCTTTTTTCTCTCCCCAGACCCAGCGTTCTTATGAGCCTTGCTGAGCAGGAGAAAGGCAAGCCCAGGCTCTTGATTCTAAATGCACAAAATTGGGAAAGGCCAAGACAATGAAACATTAAGAGATGTGCTCAAAATTCTTTGGAGCTAACTAACGTATAAACCCTCCAACCAAACGGAAATAGCCCATTGGGTCAGAAATGCAAACTCTTTTCCTTTTTAAAAGAATTTGCTGGCAACTCAAGTCTCATTTTTCAAATTCATCTATCTCCCTTTCTCCCCATCCCTCTTCCATCACAGGGCAACGGAAATGTATTTGTCTATCGAAAAGATGTTGATTTCCTCCCAAAGTTAAGATTCCTAAGGAACCACATTGAAAGAAAGGATAGGGATCCTGATGCGTTTCAGGATCAAGAGGACAGCTCTCTCACTTCCTCTTGTCCTCCTCCGGTTTCTTCCTGTTGGAATGTAGCTACTTGCATCTTATTCACGAATAGTGGAGTTTTCCATCCTGGAAGATATTGTCAGAGGGGAGATGATGGTTATTCCAAAGTGGAGGGGATTCCCACATGGGATGGAGGCGGGACCAGAAGACCCCCAAATCCCCTTTCAGTTCTAAGGCCCTGGGGACCAGTCCTTCCATCCTATCCCAGGGGTCCACTTGTGGTTCAGAAGCATTTGGTGCAAGTCTCAAGAAATCAGACTTAGATATTTACCCCTCCTCCCACCCAGATGATCCAGTAGCCGGTATGGAAGCTTTGTGGGAACAGCAGTCCATTGTAAGTTTGTTGGGCCAGATTGTGGAGGATGCTGGACTCGATGCGGTTAAAACAAAGTAGACAAACAAACGAAAACTCTTCTCTTCTTCTAGTGGTGTCTCTTCAGGGAGACCATGACTCTGAGCTCCTAGGTTTTAGAAGTATGTCTGTTTTTGAAAATTAAGCTTTATTGAGGGATTCTCGACATAAAATAAACTCATATTAAAAGTGTACAATTTGGTTCATATCAGTACTATTTACAATAGCCAAGACATGGAAACAACTTAAATGTCCATCAACAGATGAATGGATAAAGAAGATGTGGTACATAAAAAAGAGTGAGATAATGCCATTTGCAGCAACATGGATGGACCTAGAGATTATCACACTAAGTGAAGTAAGTCAGACAGAGAAAGACAAATATCATATGATATCACTTATATGTGGCATCTAAAATGTGACACAAATGAACTTATCTATGAAACAGAAACAGACTCACAGACATAGAAAACAAACTTATGGTTACCAAAGGGGAAGGTGGGGGAGGGATAAGTTAGGAGTTTGGGATTCACAGATACACACTACTATATATAAAATAGATAACCAACAAGGACCTACTGTATAGCACAGGGAACTATACTTAATATCTTCTAATAACCTCTAATGGAAAAGAATATGAAAAAGAACATATATATATGTTTCCTATCATATAATCACTTTGCTATACACTTGAAACTAACAAGACGTTGTAAATTAACTATACTTCAATTTTAAAAATGTATGTAAAAAAGTGTACAATTTGGTAAGCTCTGACACATGTGTACACTCAGGAAACCATCACCACAATCAAGATAGTGAATATATCCATCACCCTCAAAAGTTTCCCCTTCTCCCTTTGTGATCCCTCTCTGTCCTCTCCAGCACCCTCTCTGTACCTCTCCCCCAGTCTCTAGGCAGTTATTGATTTGCCTATGTCCCTATAGATTAGTTTGCATTTTGTAGATTTTATATAAGTGGAATCATAGAGGATGTACTCTTCTTTTTCTGACTTCTCTCACTCAGCATAACTATTCTGGGTCAACACGTTTTCCCATTTTCTTGCTGAGCAGTAGTCTATTGTATGGATATACTAAAATTTGTTTATCCATTCACCTATCGATAGACATTTGTATTGTTTTCAGTTTTTGGTTGTTACAAATAAAGCTGCCTTGAATATTTATGGATAAGTCTTTGTAAGGACATATGCTTTCCTATCTCTTGGTAAATACCTAGAAGTGGAACGGCTGGATCATATGTTAGGCATAGGTTTAAGTTTTTAAAAACCTGTTTTCCAAAGTGGTTGTACCATTTTACATTCTCTCCAGTGGTGTGTGCGTTCTGGTTACTCCACATCCTTTCCAACACCTAATACAGTCAGCCTTTTTAGTTTTTGACTGGTTTTAGTGGGTGTGTCATGGAGGCATATCTCACTGTGATTTTAATTAGCATTTCCCTGATGACTAAGAATGTACGTCTTTTCATGTGCTTGTTTGCCATCCATATTCTTTTTGGATGAAGAATCTAACTCTTTTACCCATTTTGTAATTGGTTTGTTTGTTCTTATTATTGAGTTTTGAAAGTTCTTTATATAATCTAGATACAGTTCTCTTATCAAATCTGTGATTTGCGAATATTTTCTCCAAATTCTTTTTTCTCTTTTTCACCAGTGTTTTTCTTTTTTAATTTCTCAAAACAGTGTCTTTTGAAGAGACATTCTTAATTTTGGTGAAGTCTAATTTATTAATTTTTTGCAATGTACTATGCTTTTTTGTGTTGTATCTAAGAGATCTTTGCCTAACCCTGGGCCACAAGGATTTTCTCCTATATTTCTTGTAGAAATTTTATAGTTTCAGGTTTTATATTTAGACGAAGATCTGTTTTGGGTTCTTTCTTCAATGTGACGTGAAGTATAGATCAAAGGTCTTTTGTTTGTTTGTTTTTTGCATTGTTCATCCAAATGTTCCAGCACAATTTGTTGAATAGATCAACATTTCCTCATTAAATTGTTTTCACCTGTCTGTCAAAAATCAGTTGACTATATATGTGGGGTCTACTTCTGGATTCTCTGCTCCATTGACCTATTTGCTCATTGCAGCACAAATATCATATTGTCTTGATTACTGTAGCATTCAAATAAGTCTCGAAATCAGATACTATAATCCTCCAACTTTGTAGTTTTTCAAAAGTCTTTGGCTAATTCTAGTTCCTTTGCATTTTCAAACTGGACATAAATAGCCTACTGTGGGACACATAGAAGCGAATCGAAACCTCTTTAAACCGCACTTGTTGTCAGTTCCTTAGGAAAGAGGATTCAGAGATAGATACCAGCACTCATTAAGTATACCTTTATTTAGAAGAATAGTATATACGTATCTTGAAAGATAAGTGTTTAAGTAACTTGAAAGAAAAGAAGAGAGGGAGGAGGAAAGACAAGCTTCATGGAAGAGATGAAATTTAATGATGTAATGTTGATAAGTAGGGTGTAGATAACTTGAGTTAGCACCTGGAGAGAGTAATATGACGTGTGCCCATCACAAAGCCCAATTAGATTGTAAGAAGAGGTGCATGAAGGAAGTGGCTTGTCTTCATATTGTAGAGGACCTTGAAATGGAAGTTGAAGAGTTTGTGCTTAATTCTCTAGGCAATGAAGAGCCATGAAGATTTTTTCTCTGAGACAGTGTTTTTTAGAGGGAGAGTGTTGTTACGGCAGTTGAGCCGACCGCACGAACTGAAGCATTTCATGCTCACATCCTTATACAGATTCCCTCACATCTCACCTGCTTGCTACCAGAGTCCCAGGGGAGGGAGGGCTAGGACTTGTGGGAGAGGTTGATTGGCAGCAGGGCTTTAATTTCAATGGAATGTTTTCATGGGCGTCGTCTTTCCCTTCCTGGATCGGGGGATGAGTGGAGTTTCCTTGGGAGTGTTTTTCTTGGATACATTCATTGGGTTTCAACTAGAAACACAGGATATTGGTATGGCTCTTCACAGTTTAGGTTGAATTGCAGTCCACCCCCAAAACTTCCTTGAGGTTATGTTTTATCCAACCCTTCTTACTGTTCAAATGCCTACCAAACAGATTTATAGAATGCCAAAGCTGGAAAGGGCCTCCGAGAACATCTGAACCGTCCTTATCCTCTTACTCCCTCTGTTCTGTGAAGAAATGAAAGTGAGACGGTAACTCAATTCCAATAACATGAATCTGATCACACTGTTTACCTCTATAAAACCCTTCAACTCAGCCTAAGACCTTTAGCTAGGGTGACCTGACATCCTGATTTGCCCAGAATGGTCCTAGTTCTTGCTTGTTGCCCTGGTGCAGTTATTCATAGCGACCCTTTTCACTCCCCAGAGTGAACCAGTTTGAATGATAAATTAAACGGTCCTCCTAAGTAATGCTTTCCAACATACAGACGCTGATGTGGAGACAGGCAGTCTCAGAGTTACTGTGGAGGTTTTGTACACCCGTCATGTTTATACAGTCTCTCAATCAGCAGAGAGATGAGTAAGATTATTACACTTTAAGGGTCCAAGAAGAATGTTGAAGTTCAGTATAGGAATCACTTGAAAGTATTGAGACACAATGACCAGCCCTCCTCTCCAGCCTCCAGCCTCCCCTGCTCATCTCCTAGTGCCCTGCCTCCCTCCTGTGGTCCAGCTCCGGGGAGGGACGATTCGTGGGTGTCATGACTCTTCCATGCTGGTTCAGGGCTCTGTGCTTTTGAACATGTTTTCCCTCTGCTGGAAGATATCTGCCACCAGCCCCTGCCCCTCTTGTCCAACTGATGAAATCCCACCTTTCCTGCAATGCTCAGAACCTCCACACCCCTGTCTCCCCAGCACAACCACCCCTCCCCAGGGCAGAGCCAATCTCTCTGTTCTGAGCCTTCCCGTGCCCTGCATTCTCTTCTGTCCTGGTGGCCCTTATCACTCTGTGTTGGCTGTATTTGTTTACATGGTTGTCTCTCTCCTCGACTGGGAACAACTTGAGGGCATGGTGACTGGCACAGGGAGGGGACACAGGCAGTATGTGCCAAGCTCATTCATTCAATACATATTTATTGAGCATTAACTTTATTCCAAGCACTACTTTGCACGGGATCCAGTAGCGCACAAACGACGTCCCCGGCCCCCGCACTCCAACCCTGTCTGGGAATGGGTGTGGTGCGAAGGGAGCACGGGAGCTGACCTGTGCACCGTGCATGTGTCTGTGCGCACATGCGTCTATGTGGCTCAAGGAGGTTTCCTGGAACCTTGGGCTCTTCTCAGGAAGCCAAAACACTTCAGGACAGGTCAGTCTTTTTCCATGCAGCTTCTTTATGAATTAAGCTGCGTTAAGTTAAGTCTCTGAAACAGAGAAAGGGAAGTCTGTAGAGACAAAGATAACTTTCTCAAGGTCACTGAGTTGTGTGGTTGGTCCCCAGGGAGAGAAGCCTTGTGCCTTGGACCTGGCTTAGCCCTGGGTGAGGGGTGGCGGTGGGCATGGCCTGCCAGTTCCCCTGGGAGGTAGAGGCTCCCCAGGCCGGCCGGGCCAGCGTCTGTGAGGCAGGCTGTGTGGGTGCCTGTCTCCAGACAGGAGCCCATCCCAAGAGCTGGTCCAAGGCCACAGAGGCTGAGCAGAAGCCCGTGTGCTGTTTCTGGTGAGGAGGGCTCCATTCTCAGTGGTTTACGAGTACCATTCCTGGAGTCGGGGGAAGACTTAGAGCTGGGCTGAAGTACACACCAGGTCCCAAGGAGCTTGGCAAATGATAACACAAACCACTGAAGCAAAAGAAGACAGAGAGGGAGAGGGGTGTGGGGCAGGAGAAGTGAGGAAAGTGAGAGAGATTGAGATGCAGAGATTCTCAGGCTGTGGCAAGGGACCAGAGGCTAACGTTTTGCTCTCAGAATACCGTAAATCACTCTCTTTCTCACTCCCTCTCCCTCTCTCTCGCTCCACACCCACCCTCCCACTCTCATCGCCATTCATTTCTTTCTGAAACAGCCCTCCTCACCCCAACTCAGAGATTTTATTTTCTTCTCTCATTCGGAAGTTGCAGCAACTCTGGGCAGCCCTGGGTCCCTGGTTCAACACTCCCCCTTCCGGCCTTCACCACCTCCTTACTTACATGCGGGAACACTCTTCAGGAGCAAGAAAAATGAGATGGGACTCCCACAGGACAGAAGGAAAGGTGATGGCGCCCCTCACGGAGATGTCAGTCTCCGGGTGGGGTGGGACCTAGGCCCGCCCCTTGGTCCATGGAGCGGGGAGGGGGGCTCGCCCTGGTGCCCTTGAGGTAGGTGTCCTCCAGCTCTGAGTCTCAGCGAGATTCCAGAACAGCCCCTCCCAGCTCAAAGAAATAGAAGCCACAGGGAGGGGAGAGCAGGTGACTTGGAGGTGGCAGAGAAATGCCAGCTGCTGTCAGGTAACCTGAACCCCGAAACCTAGTTACTCAGCTACCGTCAGGCCTCACCAGGGGCCTCACTCCATCGGATGTCCCTCCCCCAGCACAACTTCCTCACTCAGCTTTAACCTTCTGCTGGGGGGCCAGTGCCCTCTCCTTGAGGCTTGTCACGCCCACACTCGCCCCTCCACTTCTTGGGGTCACTTGCCTCCTCTCTGGGCCCATCAACAAACCCCAAATATCCTCAAGCATAAGGAGGCCAAAGGGCCTGAAACGGTTGTAACGCAAGAGGGAGAAGCACTGGAGAGGGAGGAGTGGGGCAGGAGGAGGGAGTGGCCGTTTCATTTCGAAAGGCTGAGCTTTTCAGAGTGTAGTAGGACCCGGTTAACAGGAACTCCCCTCACCCTCCAGGGAATCTGGCGAGAATCCAGGAAACAGATGGCTGCTGCCGTGTGACCCACGCACAGCGTGGCAGGGCCCTCCCTGGAGCTCAGGAGCCCAACATCAGGTTCCTGGGACCAGCCTGACTGTGCAGGACAGCCCAGTCTCCCTGCCATCTCTTCTTCCCTTTCCACTTGGAAGTTCACCCCAGAGTGGGGCTGGGAGAGAGAGGGGTACCTGATGTAGTGCCCACTACATGGTAAGGTGCTAAACGTAGCTGTTGAATGATTGAATGAAACATGAACCAAACAGAGCGGGGTAGAGGGAAACAAACGAGGCAGAAATAGGAGTGGGCAGAGATTCCGGACGAGGGTGGAGAAAAGAGCAATTGAAAGGGGCTCTGTGTCTGGGGGCAGATAATGTAGACTTGCAACTCATGGAACACAGCCATCTAACTGCAACATCTGGCATAAATACTCCCACAGTCCACACTGTCCACATGTATCGACCCTCATCCAGGGGGGCAGGCCTACTGGGAGGACTCCTGGGACCATATGATCCAATGTTCCCATTTTACAGATAAAGAAACTGGAGTTAAATGAGGGCAAGTGACATTGCCGAGGCCTCCAGGTCAGGCTCTGGCTCCACCTGGCCCCCTCCAGGGGATTTCAAGAGGCACCTTTCCTGGACAAGAATTGATTGATGGCTCTGACTCATTAGCACATGAAACCGGTCAGACCTAGCCTTTCTCTGCCCTCCCTCTGGAAACCACACCCAGCCCTGGGACTTCTAACCTCTTCACTTCTCCCTCTGCTCTCAACTTCCAAACTGGCTGGCATGCCAGCCTTTCAAAAAAGAAGCTCTCATTTTGTTTGAATCACCTTAGGGGCCCCCCTTTGGAAAATATTTTATTTATACCTCAATCCTCCAGAGATGGAGAGACTAGTGTCTCATTCTTGTGTCTCTCCACAGTGACACAGTGCGCGCACACAGTAGGTGCTGAGTAAGAGTTTAATGCTGGGAGGAAATACGAAAACTGGAGACCAGAACTCGAGGCAGCCTGGGGAGCCACACGTTGTACGAGCTTTGCTGGTGGATTTTCTTAGAAAAGCCCTGGACCCCACGGTCTGGCAAGGAGAAGTGACATTATGTGCCTGTTAGACAAGCAAAAAGTACTATTAGACCTTCATTTATGCTCAAATACATGCAAAGAACAGAAGTAGGCTCTCAAACCAAATTAGAATCAAGCCAAATCAAGTTGATAGACAAGATTTAGGGGACTCCAGCTGCAGCAGGCTTGTGAACCCCTGGCCTTTTAATATTACTTTCCAGGGATGTAAGCGCAAACTTCCTTCAATAGCAATTTATGGCTCGGTTCACATCCAGTCTATTTCTGGAGTTAATATCTCACATCCATAGTCAAGAGCAGTCGTGTGGACATGTGGGCATCATGTGAATCTTGGTTTTGATGGTTCTTTTGGAGTGGGGTCTGCAAAAATTACATATTCAGCTACTTAAATGTTCAGCTTACATATTCAGCTACTTAAACCAAGGGGAAAAAGAAAAACACGAGGAATGGCCTTCAACCGTACTTCAAAGATGGCAGCTCAGTTGTTCTTACAAGATCAAAACCAAAGTCAAGGAAGATTTTAGAGATTCCCAGCCTGGACTTGTTATAGCTCATAGAGTTTCTTGCAATTTCAAGTGACGTCATAGGTGGTTCAAAGCACAATTAAATTTACTTTCGCTTAAACGTTTATATACACACACATCCCATGTGATTATGTACGTTATCCTGATGATGTATATTTGCCACGTATCACGTTTGCAGTTGGCTTGTGGGATGAGAACTACCAAGAAATCAAGCAATACGTAGGCAACTCGTATCCAAATGTCGCAGGTCACGGGAATTGCCTTTAAGAGAAAAAAAAATCTTCACAAAATAAAAACTATCAAATAAGAAAAAAATAGAGAACACTTCTGTACAGAGAGAAAAATTACTATTAAAGGGGAATAATCAATGGAAACAAAAGCCTGAAAGCTTTCAATGTTTTTACAACTGTTCATAGTGTTTAAGGATATTCTGGGAAATAAAATTACATGAGTTTCATTCCTTGCATAAGTCACTGGTGCAAGTGAGATGAAGTGGACCAAGTAGGACCTGGGTTTTAACTGTGTTATGTGAGGGCAGTGGGAGCTATGGAAGATTTGCCGGGGGAAAAGGGAGAAGAGGGAGCTGTGTCTTAGCAGAAACATCAGTAGTCCGGCGGCAAGAGATTGGTGGAGATAGAGCAAAGGCAAAAAGGCCAATTCTGAGGATGTAGCAATAACTGATGTGCAAAATATTGAAGACAGTTGAGCTGGGGTAGATGTTGGGATAGATGTGGTGGTTTGAGAGGGAACTATCTAAGCTCCTGGTGGATGATGATGGCAGGTAGGTGTGAGGGGAAGGGAGAAATGAAAGATAGCCCTGAGCCTGGCTATATGGGAAGACGATTATCATTAGACCCTCCAGTGCTGCTCTGGCCAGGATGGCAGCCACTGGCCACAGGTGTCTACTGAGCACTTGAAATGTGGCTGGTCTGAGTGGAGAATTGCTGTCAGTATCACACAGACACCTATGTCAAAGACTTAGTTCCCCAAAATAGAATGTAAAATATCCCATTCATAATTTTGCACATTGATTACATGTTGAAGTAATATTTTGGATATATTGGGTTAAATAAAATATTAAAATTAATAATGTTTCTTTGTACTTTTAAAAAATGTGGCTACTAGAACATTTTAAATCGCACACATGGCTCACATTTGATCTCTATGGGGCATCGCGGCTCCAGTGGTTTCCCATTGCTCTTAGGGTCGGACCCAAATTCCTCACTGAGACCATCAAAGCCCCATGTGACCTGCCAGGCTTTCTGAGGCTGAGTGAGGGCCCCACTCCCCTTGGTCAGCATGTTTCAGGCACACTGGCCTTGCTGTTCCCCTGGCACGCCATTGCTCTTTCCTGCTGCTGGACTTGCCCCCACCGTGGCCCCGCCTGTCATGTTTTCTCCTGAGATCTTAACTTGCTGGATCCTCCCACCCTTCAGTCTTCTCCAGAGGACTCCTCCCTCCCCCACCAACATGCTAGCTCATGCCCTATTTTATGTTCCTCAGAAGACTTCATCAGTTTAGAAATTACCTTGTTAATTTCTTTGTTTAATGTTTTATTGTCTCTCTCCTCCTGGCTACGACTTAAGTCCTGAGAAATCAGGAACCCCCATCTGCCTTATTCTCCTTTGTATCTCTAGGCTTGGCACATAATGGGTATACAATAAATGTTCGACAAATGAATGAATGGAGAAGTACAGAACCATGGAGAAGGGCTCCTGGCTAGACCGGGGTGGGGTGTTGGGATGACGGCTTTCAGCACTTTTCCTCCAATATGGTCCATACACCATGGCTCTCTCTAGACTGTGACCTCCTGAAGGCCTTCACGTCTGTTCATCACTGCATCCCCAGGGTTCCCAGTCCACCACCGTGTGCAAGGTGAAAGCCCAGAGGATTATCTATGGAACGAACACATGGATACAAAACCAAAGCTCACGCCATACACCCCACTTCTTCCCACAGGAAACAAAGGAATTGCATCCGTTTTCTTTGAATTAGCTTCTATCTCGAATATTTCAAGTGCTTTGCAAACTGGGAGAAGTTTTTAGTAACTGTATTCATGAAACAGCAGCAAGTGACACTGGTCCTCTTTGTGGCCCCGGGCACCATGGTCAGCCATTTACAAACCTTGCCCTGGCTGGCCAGAGGTCACATTTTCGGACCTGTAAAATCAGGTTGGGCTTTTTGTTTTACTGGCCTTCCTGGCTTCAGGAGTCACCTCCTCAGTGAGGCCTTCCCTGATCATCCATCCCAAATTAGACCCCCAGCCAAACTTCCGTCCCTTTTATCACAGCACCGGATTTTAGTTTCTTCATAGTATTTATCATGAGCTGACGGTCTCTCTTTTATTTATTTCTTTTGTTTTTCTTAACTGTCTTCTCCGCAGTGGGATACGTGCTCACTGAGAGCTGTGGCCTGCCTGTCCTGTTCACTGCAGAAACTCTGGTGCCTGGAAGAGCGCCTGGCACAAAGTAGGGGCTACACGAATCCCTGGTGAATGACTAGCCAGCTGCAATGAAGAGCTATTCTGTGGGCCGGTGACCCACTGGTGCCGTATGCCCCTGGTTTCCGGTATCGCATCCTGAGCTGCAGGTGACCTCAACAAACTGTCTCTTCTAAAGAAACCCCTCAGGTAATACATGCTCATTTTGATCTACCACAAAACCTGGATGCAAACCCCAGCAGTCACAGACAGGAAAGAAAAGCCCAAACAAACTATACCTGGAAATTCAGAAACTGCTTCGTGGCTCTGGGACATTTTGCTTACAGAGACTGTATTGATCTTGTTGCAGATAGCCGCCCTGTATGAGCAGCTGTTCTGGTGTGGCCCCCCCCAGGTCTGGTGCTTCGGAACCCCCTGTTACACCCTTAGGTGCTTTTACCCACTGGTTTCTCTGGGTCATGGTGCGATTCATTCACCTATTAAAGAATGACTCTCAAACCAGCCACACAAATATGATCTTCAAAATTGGATACTTTTTGGGCTTCCCTGGTGGCGCAGTGGTTGAGAGTCCACCTGCCGATGCAGGGGACACGGGTTCATGCCCCGGTCCGGGAGGATCCCACATGCCGCGGAGTGGCTGGGCCCGTGAGCCATGGCCGCTGAGCCTGCGCGTCTGGAGCCTGTGCTCCACAACGGGAGAGGCCGCAACAGTGAGAGGCCCGCGTACCAAAAAAAAAAAAAAAAAACTGGATACTTTTCTTACTTCTTAAAGTTTAGGATTTATTTTCCCATTCTCTCTCTATAATTTTTGGTTCTGAAAAGTTCCTGGCAATTCATTTGTGCTGAGAATCATTAAGCTTTTTTTTTGTTGTTGTTCCACCCAGTTTGTTTATTTTTTATATTTATTTATTTTTGGCTGTGTTGGGTCTTCGTTTCTGTGCGAGAGCTTTCTCTAGTTGTGGCAAGCGGGGGCCACTCTTCATTGCGGTGCGCAGGTCTCTCACTGTCGCGGCCTCTCTTGCTGCGGAGCACAGGCTCCAGACGCACAGGCTCAGTAGTTGTGGCTCACGGGCCCAGTTGCTCCGCGGCATGTGGGATCTTCCCAGACCAGGGTTCGAACCCGTGACTGCTGCATTGGCAGGCAGGCTCTCAACCACTGGGCCACCAGGGAAGCCCAGTTTGTTTATTTTTTTATTGCAGTATAGCTGATTTACATTATTGTGTTAGTTTCAAGTGTACAGCAAAGTGATTCGGTTATACATATATATTTATGTATATATCTATATTCTTTTTTTTGATTCTTTTCCATTGAGAATCATTAAGCTTTCCGTGTAAAAAAGACCTTGGCTTCGATTGCATTAGTTCTTCTGCTGCTCGATAGACAGGAGGATGGAACGGACCTGCGCTTCTTGTGCCCTAAGAGATTCAGTTACACATCCGAGGCAGCAAAGCAGGAGGAGAGCAGGTTTCTGTCACTCTCTAGCTGCCACCTTGGCCAAACCATTTCCTCTCTTTGAGACAAATTATCCACATTTGCTACGAGAATAACATTTTCAGTCCTACTTACCTACATGGATTGCTTTTGGTATCAAATGAGAGAGTGTTTGAGAAAGCATTTTGTGAGACTTAAAGTATTATTCAAATGTGAGTTGTTATTTTTATTAATATCCTCCTTCTTCTTCTACTAGTAATGTGTAGCTTCCTGAAGGATTTCTATATGGCAGGCATTGTGCCACATGCTGTGAGTAGAGAAAAAATATGTTGTTTTTGCCTCCAAAACTTGCACAGTCTGGGTTGGGCAGAGAGATAAAGAGACACTATAATCCAGTATCATCAGTGCTGTGTTGAATGCTCCAGGAGGGGGTGAGAGGGACAGGGAGGGGTCAGGATGGGTTTCTGGAAGCAGGTGAATTGAGCAAAGTCTTGAAGGATGCCTATGTAGGAGGTCTCTGGATGGAGAGGTAGAAGAGTGATGCTTCCGGCGCAGGGACGGTGTGTGTAAAGGGATGGAGGGCTCATGGCACTGGTGCAGCTTTGCGTGCAGGGGAATCATGGATGGGATGCTGACTTCTTGTAGGGTATAAGGCAGGAGGGTAGGTCAGGAGCAAATCACGCGACTTTCTCCAGAGGTGGAGGCAATAAGAAGCCTTTGGGAGTTTTCTCTCGGTGTCGTGGTTGTTTGGCTACGTGACTGGAGTGTGCTTGATGGGTTGGAGGGAGGCAAGACTGAAGGAGGTGAAAGCAAAAACCTCGAAGCTCCTGCACAAAGGCAATGACAAAGGGGGCTGAGATTCAAACAACAGGGAAGCCTGATGGTTCCTGGTGTCTTGTGGGATGCAGGGAGGAGATCGGTGATGGGGTTGAGGAAGACGTATTAAGCCTGGGAAGACAGGGGTAGGACACCTCGCAGAGTTGGGGACCTACTGACTTTCATGTGGAGATGGCCCGTGGGTGGCTAGGTCCACGGTCTGGAGCTCAGGACAGAATTTGGGATTGAAGATACCAGATTTGGTGGTGGTCTTCATGCAGACGCCAGTCACTGTGGTGGGTGACGAGTGACAAAAGGAAAAGGACACAGACTTTTCAGGGACAGCAACCTTAATGCGTAGGTCGTGGGGAAAAAATCCCATGATAGTTGTTGAGAAGTCACCAGAGAGGTTGGAGGAAGTCAAGAAAAAGAGGCGTCAGGGGGGCTAAGGAAGGAGAGAATGTCCAGGATGGAGTCTGCACATGGTCAGAACCTCACAAATGTCGACAGAGGAAAGAACAAAAGAGGGACCATCTGATTTGTTCAGAGAGGGAGGGGCATTCAGAAGCCTGGCTGCAGGGGTAACAGTGAGAGAGAAGTGAGGCAGGAGAGGCTACAAGCTAGAACTAGAGTCTAGGGTCCTTGGTGAGAAGGGAGGAGGGCAGTCACGGGTGGAAAGAGGAGTGCAGGGTGGCAGAAGCTGGCTCTGAAAGACGGTGGAAAAATAAATGTATTTATATGCTGAGGAAAAAGGAAAAAATGTAAAGGAGGTTGCAAATTCAGGAATAAGGTGTTCAGGTGTTTTGTGGGCCACGTCCCTGATAAAGGGGAAAGGCATCCAGAGTGCAGTCCCTGAGAAAGAAGGGAAGGATGGAGCCAGGTGGAGATAAGCTTAAGGGGAGGAGGCGGGACCAGTCAGAAGGAGAGCTGACCAGGACCTGACAACCAAGGAGCGGGAGAGCTGGATGACACCACACTTTTCCCAGTGGAAGGAAAAGCCCTGTCTGGGCAAGGGTGTTTGGGGGGGCGGGGATGGCACTGGGAATAGGTCCTCACTCTGCAGCCCTGGGACCCGCACCCCTCATTCCCCTACCCTGCTTCCTACCCTACTCACACGTGGAGTGGGCAAAATGATGTGTCACCCAGCCAGTAGGCTCAAAAGAAAAGCAGAACCAGGCAGTGCAGGGGGGCGGGGGTGTTCATACCAAGGCTGCAGGTAGAGGGGCATTTATTTAAGAGAACAAGTTTCCAGAGAGAACAGTGGAAAGGCTGAGGAGGGACTCCATCAGATGAGGGGCAGCACAGAGCAAGATCTGAACCCGTGGCTGGAGGCTGTACGCTGAACATGAAAACTTGGCTTTTAAAAAGTTAAGTTGAGGAGCTTCCCTGGTGGCGAAGTGGTTAAGAACCCCCCTGCCAATGCATGGTACACGGGTTCAAGCCCTGGTCAGGGAAGATCCCACATGCCCCGGAGCAACTAAGACGGTGAGCCACAGCTGCTGAGCCTGCGCTCTAGAGCCCGCGCGTCACAACTACTGAGCCCATGTGCCACAACTACTGAAGCCTGTGCACCTAGAGCCATGCTCCACAAGAAGAGAAGCCACCGCAAAGAGAAGCCCGCACACCGCTCGCAGCAACTAAAGCCCGCACGCAGCAATGAAGACCCAACACAGCCAAAAATAAATAAATTTATTTAAAAAATAATAATAAGTTGAATTCAACCCCACATAGGTGAGAAACCAGTTGCTATGTCTCAAGATGATCAATTGTTTGAAATCCAACTTCTATTTTTAAACTATCACATGCATGTAAATATGACTATAGCCTCAGGTCTTTGTATAGGAGCTGTGCGAATATTTGAGGCAAGAATGACATTTTAAGTTATCCTTTATGAACTGCTCCCAGCATTAAACTGTTTCAAAATGTCTCTTCTTTGGATGGATACTCCCTGGTTTGCACTTAAAATGAAACCTCAAGGAGATCACAGTGGTTTCCAAGTTCTCTAGATGATCATACATTATGCTCCTTTCCCATCGTGCCCTTCCCCCAAATCCAAAATAAGAAAACAAAAATAATCCAAACGAGCCTTTGGTTTCAGAGTTTTTTAGAGGCTTTCTCTCCTCTGTAAGGTATTAATGGGCAATTCCACAATTACTTTGTTATACAGAGTTTTAAGGGAAATATCTGTTTGATCCTTCAAGATTCTATTCGTATAAAAATAATCTTATGGGTCCTAATTACGGAACAGACACAGGAAAGAATAACTTATGTTCAAAAGTATTTGTTCTTCACAAATCTGGGGTAAAGGAAGCCTTCCTTTATGGTTTGTATCTCATCCCTGACCCCAGATATCTATTGGGTATTCACTAAAATGAAGAAATGCCTCGAGTACTTTTACTTACTTTTACTCCTAAACGTCATATATGGTACTTGCTTCTGAAACTGATTTGACGTGGCCTTTACCCTCTCCTGGCCCCCTTAAGGAATAATATCCCTGTTTTACATTCTGATGCCTTAGGGACAAATTTATGGCTTAGGGGAAAAGCTGATAGAAGAGAAACTACGTCACAGAAAACATCAAGGTTAGGGTGGTGGTGTTGTTTGTCAACTGAAGTAATTTTTCTCTAGGCTGGAGGTTTTCTCAACTGGATTTATAAATTTCATGTCTCATATTGATGACTAAACTAGCAGAATTAGTTTAACATGAAAACAGATCACATTTGTGAATAACAAAATAGTAAACTACAAAGAATGTTCCTTAAATAACATCGCTATCATTGATACTTGCAATTCTAAAAAAAAAAAGAGAAGATTCATTGATCCCTGCTTCACTAAAGGCAAATTACAATTGGAAACATATCCAGACATAGAAAGAATAGCTGCAGTAAAGCCTTATTTTTAAAAATTTTTTTTGCGGTTCACGGGCCTCTCACTGTTGTGGCCTCTCTCGTTGCGGAGCACAGGCTCTGGACGCGCAGGCTCAGCGGCCATGGCTCACGGGCCCAGCCACTCCGTGGCATGTGGGATCTTCCTGGACTGGGGCACGAACCTGTGTCCCCTTCATCGGCAGGCGGACTCTCAACCACTGCGCCACCAGGGAAGCCCAAGCCTTATTATTAATTTAGACTTCAATTATTTACTTGAGCTGCAAATCATGGCTGTTCTTATTCTTACTATAGAGATTTATAGTATAAATAATACTGAAGAGCTATGTTTAACCTGCTTAAGAGAATACAGTCTTTAAATGACTTTAGTGCATTAGTTTTATGAAAGCAAGTCTTTCTGTAAACTATGAATTCAGACTCACTACAAGTATTTGCCAAGTTTGCTGTTCTTCCTCCTATTGGATATTTAAAATTCAGATTTTTCACTAATTCAGACTGACTTCACTAATTTCTTCTTGTTTAACCAGACTAATTCAGTAAGTTTAGTTACTTCAGTAAGTGTACTAGTGGAAAAACTCTAACCAGCTGGGGAAATATGTTTCCTAAATGGAGAGAGTCTGGTAATCAACAGACCACATTCTCTTTTCAGAAAAGAAGTGTGCAAGTGAAGGGGGGTGGGGAGAAAGTGCTTAGGGTGAAGAGGGAAAGTGATGGCATTTTTAACTCTTGCTATTCTGTTTTCCAAGTAAGATAACAAGATATCACAGCGAAGGATAGGGTCTTAGTGGCAGATATTAGATACATCTATCCTGTTAGATGTAGTCTTCCTTTGATGGGTCACACAGGGAACACGATTCTCACTAACACAGCAGGTCTCCAAGAAAACATGTGGCCTATTTCCTTGCAACAGTGGAAGTACAGGGCCCATGCTTCAGGTCTGTTTCAAAATCTTGGGGTTCTTGTAGCCCCATCACAAGTGTCAAGATGCAGAGGCACACGGAAGCATGCTGAGGAGATAATCACAGACTGCGGACTTGAGAAGGACTTCAGAGACTTCTGGTCTAAGCTTCTCACCTTGTCAGTGAGGAAACTGAAGACCAGAGACTTAAGAGGATTTGCTTAGCATCTCACAGGCAGTGGCCAGTTTGGAACCAGGATTCCCTGACTCCCAGTGCATTCCTTGACCATATCAAGGTGACTCTGCTCATTCAAAAGATATTAGTATTGTAAAACGATTAATCTTAAAATTAACCATTTGACACTAATTTTTCTTAGGTAGAATTTGACTAGTTATTTACTATACCAGCACTTTCTATGGTCACAAAAATTTATACAAAAATTAATCATGATTTGGAGGCCGCAAAAGTTACCTGTTACAATGTGTCACCATCTTTTTGTACCACCAGTGTACACTACTCCTCTTTTATGACACTTAACATAGAGTAATTCATTTTTGTTTTTAAACTAGTCTGTTGGGCCTACTAGACTGTGAGCTTTATAGCTACAGAGATCATGCCTTTCTTTTCCCTTTATTTCCATGGTACCTGGTTCAATAATTATTGAATGCATACATGAAATTCAGAACCTAGGGAAGAGGCAGTGGTGCTCTCACATGGGGCCCGGTGCAATTACAAGCAGCTCCTGAAATCACTGGGCAAAGGCCAGGGCTGGCTTTCCCGTTTGGTGAACATCCCTCACTGTGGCTTAGGAATCATTAATAGCTGACATGCACTGGGGGCTTACATGCCAAGCTAAATGCTTTGCCTGCATTTATGCATTTCATCTTCACAACCCTATGCCGTACCACCCTGTGAGGTACAAATGACACGTACAGTACAAAGGAAGCACAGAGAAGATAAGTAATTTGCCTGCACTTACAACCTAAACAACCTGAAGCCAGATCATGTGCTTTTAACCTCTGGGCTATTCTGCAGTCCAAGGACTGAAGCAGACAACCTTGGTTGGCTCTATGTTTTTGACCTCTGAGCCAATTCACATATTTGAAAATTTCAGTACCACCATGGCAAACTTCCTGAAATTCCCCCAAACTGGACTTACATATTTACCTCTCTCTGCGTTTTCCCTCACAGTTCCATTCCCATCTCTTCCTGTGGAACGCATCTGTCACCTCTCCGCTTCAGGTGCCAACTCTCTGAAGACCTTACCTGGTTTCCTCTCAAATCAGAAATCAATCTCTCTGTTCTTAGGTGCCCTTTGTTGAAACTTCTTTTCTGGCACGTCCCACATCAGGTCGGGGGTGAGTCACTTGGCTGTTTGTCTGTCTTCCCAGCTAAACTGAGAGCTCTGGGAGGGCAGGGGCTGGGTGGCACTTAGTGTTATCTTTTTAGCGCTTGCAGGGGGCTTACTGGGCACTTAGTAGGTAATGGGTTTTCGAAGATGAGATTCCTTTTTTACGGAGTCGCGAGTTGCGGTCTGTTGGCTCTGTCTTTTTTGGGACGACGGTGTGCGCTGAGCCGCCCTTGCCCGACCGCTCCCCGCGCCGCCTCCATCCTCCGCCCCCCCTCCATCCTCCGCCCCCCCGCCTCCATCCCCCCCCCACGCCCCCGCCCAAGGCCTGGCCTGCCGCTTGGCAGGGCTCCGGCGGCCGCGAGGGCCTGTGCTGCCCTGACACTGGCCTCGGCCCAGTTTCCCGGCTTCTAAATGCGGCCCGGAGCTACCGGGGGAACTGGAAAAACACTGGCAGGCGGCCCCACCCCCGGGCCCGGCGGGCCGGGCGGCCGCGTTTCTGCGGCTAAGGGCCTGCTGCTTGGGAGGCGCTGGGGCCCCGGGCGGGGAAGCGGGGGAGGCGGCCGGGCGCGGGCGGCTGCCTGCCTGTCAGCGGGAGCGGGCGCGGGCTCGTGTGTCAGCGGCTCCCTCCTCCCTCTCCCCCCGCCGCCGCCCGCCCGCCTGCCGGGCCTCCCGGCCTCCCGCCGCCGCCGCCGCCGCCCGCTCCCCCCGCGGCCTGGCAGGCTGCCGGCTGCACAGGCGGGGGTTCGCGCCGTTCTCACGACCTCTCAGGTTGCCTGAGCTCATCTGGGAGCTATTCATTTCCTGCCAGAAAGCAGCCGGGCCTGCTAAGCAAACCACCTTGGCTGCAGGGCCGCCGGGGCTGGCCCGGCGTGGCCGCCCCGACCTGCTCCCCGCCCGGGCCGCGGGCCCTGGCGGCCTCCCTGGAACCCCTGGCGGCCCCGGCGGGCGCGCGGCGGGGGCAGCTCGGCCGCCCATCTGGTTGCACTTAGGAGCCGGGGAGGAAGCTAGCAGCGGGTTGTTACCGGCCAAGGGGTGTGGGAAAAGTTAATTGACTTTAATGACAGGTTTCCCGGGACGGCGGTGACGATGAGGGGGTCCAGCTTAACCCCTGGGTCCCCACTCCAGCAACACGTGGGGTGCAATGGGGCGCGCCTCCCAGCCGCGGCAATTCACCGCTTAGAGAAGGCGCCCGTCTAGACCCAGGAGAGCCCCCTTCTAGTTCAGCGCCTTTTCCGCTCCGGATGCTGCCGGGGACGGCGGGGGGCCGGAGCCCCGAGGGTCTCCATTGAGAGGCTAATGCACGCGGCAGCGAGGCCGGCGGCCAGCATCCGGACGTGGAGCTGGGAGCCGCGCCTGATCTCCAGGAGACATCGTCACCGCCCGGGGGCGGGGGAGAGGGGCTGCTGGGTGCGACCCGAGGCTGTGCAATTAGTTCAGGCCCGAAGGATCGGGTGGGGGCCAGATTGAAGCTTCTCCTCTCCCCCAGCTAATTACTCCAGAAAGAGCCTGGGTGCAGGAGGGCACAGGGTCTTAGACAGAAACCCTCTCATTTTACGGACTTGGAAATGTTCCAGAGAAGGGAAATGACTCATCCAAAGTGACACAGTGAGTTTGGTGGCAGAGCTGACACAAGAGCCTGAAAATCCCCATTGGGGCCTAGGGTCTCCCCTTTCTTTCTGTATTGTACAGAAATGCCTCATCTACTAGTTTAAACCCAAATTCAGGAAAAAAAAGAGACCATTTTCAAACTACTAATTATTTTCAAACGAACAAATGTTTACTTCTTTTCCTTAATCACTCCCCCCATATATGTGTGCTTTTGATGATATTAATTAAAATCCATTTTTTTCAGTTGTTCCCCTTCAGCGCAGGAAAAGACAACGAGATTTAGTTTTGAGTTGATTTAGTGATCTCACTGTGTGTGTGTGTCAATTTTTAAGAACATAAATGTACTTCTATAAAAATGAGACCCTGTTGTCTCCATTATTTCTGCTGGGACATTTCCAGCGGAGCCAGAGGACAGATTTACCAAGTGAAGCATTTGAGCTTGGAATGGGTGTCTTAAAAGAGCAATTGTTATTATGTTTGTGTTTAAACAAGACAGAAACAGCAGAAAAATGATATGATAAAGAAGACTGTGTGTGTATATGTGTGTATTTCCCTGGGGGGAAGGTGTGTTGGACACCTTTCCCAGACACAAAATAATGCAAGTAGGAGCCAAAATTTTTAAAGTATCTTTTAAACGTCTCACTCTAGGTCTGAAACTGGGTGGAAGGTATTTGAGAAAACTGACTGCTGTCTGCTAGATCATTCCTGTGATAGAGCGGCTCTCCACACTGGCCTGTGGAAAAGGCCAGCTAGGTGGGGGAGAGGTAAAGCTTTTGAAACAAGACAGAAAATCGTTGGCTTTATCTTTGTTAGGAAGGCTTCAAAGATTGATCTCTCCCGCCTCATCCTTCTCCTCCCAGAAGCCCTTCCAAAAGAAGGGGGGTGAGAGGAGGCTGGCGGGAGGGGCCAGGCAGGGAGGACGACTGGCCGTCGGTGGGGGAGGAAGGCGCGTCCGCCAGACCCACAGCGCCGCTGATGTGTCTGGTCTCGCAGGGCTCGTGGTTTTCATTTCCCCAACACCTGGATGCAGTCAAACACCTGGCCAAATCTGACAAAATCTGACAAGCCTTTGTGATGGGATTTGGAAGAAATTCCCTGCAGATCCTGGCACAGTTTAAAGCTGTCCGCTTTGAGTTAGGACTTGTTAAGGAGGGTTATGTGAGCTGAAACCGGAGACAACCCTTTTGCTTCTATCTGGAGCCCACATCTTGCCTGGAAATGGGGCATGACCAAGCAAAGGGGTCGCTTGCTGTTTGTATTAAAAGGGGAAGATGGCCTGTGTGCTTGCCAGCAAGGCCCCCACATGCTTTCTCTATTAGAGCCAAGCGCAGAAACTTATCAAAAACATATGTCTGGTGTTAATCATCTGGACTCGGGCTCCACTTGGGAGTCTAACTAGCTGTTCCTTGGCAGAAGGAATCTGTTGACCTTCTCAGCTTGCTTGAAGAGGGTGCAGAGAGGCATTTCAAACTTTTAGATGCTGGTACAGAAAATGTCTAGCTGCACCTAAAGACTGACTAATTAAAGGAAGACTCCGACACTTGAAGGCTGGAGGCTGCAGATATGAAGACTGTTTTTACTTGGATGTTGGTGAGCTGCCCCAGGGCAGTAGTGGTGCAGGAGCCACCCGTAAATGTGCAGTGGGCAATAGTACCGGATTGATGAACTTCATGAATTCAGCCCTGTTCCACCCTCCTCAGAAGGAGCCAGCATGAGTGCCAGGACTGAATGAACTACCCAATTGCAACTAGAAAAGTTTTTGAAATCCTTTAAGAGATTGACCACAAATTGATCAGGGAAGCCATATCAGATGGGTTCTCACAAATTAAATGGAATTTAGTTCAAGGAGGGTTGGTAGAAGGTTGGACAGATTTTTTAAAATGTTCTTTTAATAACAAAAGAGCCAACTCCTGAATTCTCAGATTACACGTAATTCAAATTCTGCTGAGGCCTTTTTTACATATTCTGAAATAATCAGTTCTAAGACATAAGAGCATTCACTCTTTTTTTTTTTATTATATTTTCTCAAATAAACTTCCCAAAAGGAAGATATTTTAAGAGCATTTTCAAACATCTTTGGCATCACATAAAAAAGAAATCTCGTGTAAAAAACGAAATGTCATCTGAACTTTTATAATACAAAGGCGCAATCCAATATGAACATATAAAATATATACAAATATAGTGCATGGTCAGTCACTTAATACAGCTCTCTACAAAAAAGTAACTTTAGAAATTAAAAAAAAACCAAAGTAACCACTTAATCACAAAAGTCCTCCCTTCTTTCCCAGCCTCCAAGTTCCTGTTTAGTGTCCCGAGGGAAGGGAGGTGGGTTGGGGAATTTAGGGGGAGGGGTGGCCTGAGCCCCTCAGTTCCGCCACGGCCTCCACATGGAGTCCGCCGTGAGCGAGGGGCCGCTGGAAGGCGACACCGCGTTGGGGCCCACGGAGGTCCCGCTGTTGTTGGTGTAGACTGGGATGACCGGGCCGCTGTGAGCGAAGGCCCCGTTGGGGATGAGGAAGGCAAACTGGCCGTCGGGAGCCGGCACCACCTGGAAGCCGCCGAACACCTTAGCCGCCTCTCCAGCCGGGCTGCCCAGCTTGCAGGGCGCGCCGCCGGGAGGGGGCGCCGCACCCCCGGGGATGGGCACGAGCGGCGGAGGCGGCGCGAACGGCGCGTGCTGCGGGCCTCCGGGTCCCGGAGGGGGTGGCGGCGGCGCCTGTAAGGCGGGGTGCGGCTGCCCAGGGTAGGTCATGGCGTTGATCTGGGTCATGCAGTTGGCCAGGTGGCCGAGGAGCCGGGTGCGCACCTCGGTGTTAACGCCCTCACACGTGGACAGGAAGCGGGTCACCTCGTTCATGCACTCGCTGAAGCCGGCGCGGTACTTCCCCAGCACGCTCGGGTCTGTGCTTAGCGCGGCTGCGGGCCAGAAGGAGACAGACGGGTCACCGAACAGCCCAGGCCCCGAAGCCGCCGCCTCCGCCCTGGGAGGTCCCCGCCGCGCGCCTTCCTGACCACCCGCCCGCGGCACTGCCTCTTGGCTACCGGGCTGGGTTTAGAAAAACCATCCGCCTCTCCACACTAGCTTGGCGACCGAACCCGAGACGCTCCCTCTCCGTTCACTGTCGCTCCATTTAAACCGATCTCAAGCCTCAGATTTACCTCCTCCCCACCCTCTCGCGATGTGACCTTGGATAATGCCCTTCCCCCCTTCTCCACCATCCGAGCCGTATTTCCCGTTCTGTAGTGGGGGAGGAGGGAGTGTTAAACCAGATGACCCCAGGCTCCACGCAGCTTAAAAACCGCCACGGTTCTAAGTCCTTTCGCTCCCACCCGCTTCCCCCCCTGCCAAGCCGCCCGCAGCCCTTGCTGCTACAACCTCTCTCCCTCCCTTTCCGGAACAGTAACAACTTGGAGTTGTGGCTATAAATAAGCCCCAGACCGTGGGAACGCAAGAGTGAGCCAAGGCAGTAAAATGTAGCTGAATGCCTCTCACAACCACGGGCGGAAGTCTGGAAGAAATCACCGCGGGGAGAGAGGGACGCCCGCAGAGGGGGACGCGGCGAGCCGCCCTCACCCGTCATCTGCGCCC